GGCTGTTGCTGGAGAAGCCCTTAAAACCAACATCACCACACTTGGCCCAATAGTCCTACCCATGTCAGAGCAACTCCTCTTCTTTGTTACTTTGGTGGCAAGAAAGGTGTTCAAGATGAAGAATATCAAACCCTACATCCCGGATTTCAAGCTGGCGTTCGAACACTTCTGCATTCATGCTGGTGGGAGAGCAGTGCTGGATGAGATGGAGAAGAACCTTGAGCTCAGTGACTGGCACATGGAGCCTTCGAGAATGACACTTTATAGGTTTGGGAACACTTCAAGCAGCTCTTTGTGGTATGAACTGGCTTACTCTGAGGCCAAGGGAAGAGTGAGGAGGGGTGATAGGATGTGGCAGATTGCGTTCGGGTCGGGTTTCAAGTGTAACAGTGCTGTGTGGAGGGCTTTGAGGACTGTTAATCCAGCTAAAGAGCAGAACCCTTGGATTGATGAGATAGATCAATTTCCTGTTGATGTGCCTAAAGTGGCAAAATGCAAGGCTTCGTAATTAACTAAAACCTCATTCTTTGGGGGAAGAAAATGTTAACTGTATGAGTACTATAGGTCTATAACTCATACAGCGTTTGGTGTTTCTTTGTGATGCTGATTCATTTAATGTAATTTTTTCATAATGTTTGGTTGTTACGAAAACATAACAATACAAATGCCTTGAGATCCGAAACCAGGTCCCCCAAGTTCTACAGCAACAGAGCAATGAACAGGGGTGATAGAGTTTACAACAGATTACAAGTGTCTCAGATCAAAACTGTAAACTTAATAAATAAACTAAGAACTTGTCTGACGATGAATTTTCTTCTTTGTTTATTTTTGGGTACTGTTCATACTTACGATCAACAAAATAGTGTTACTAATTCTATGGTTACGCCGCCTAGCATAATTTTTAACAATCTCCCTGGGCAGGCAGTCACTATTGTTTGTGGGTTCCATCAAACACGCTCGAAAATATACAGGAATTTGAACAAAAGTCTCAATCTAAGAAAGTTGACTGGAAAAAGAAGTTCATACACATTAAATATAGTATGCATTAAAATCAGAACCAAAACATATGTACAGATTCACTAGTGTAGACTCTGATTCACACAACTACACTTCCAAATTACTACACCACATAAGAGAGCATTTGAATAACCACTTGAGATTCTTACTAATTATTGCTACGTCATCGGGTACATAGATTAGATCCTAGACTTGTTAGCTGAGGAACAATCCAATAACTTTATAAAGAGGCAAATCACTGGAGGATACAATATTTGGTTACATTCCCCAAACACCACGGGCTGCTGCCACTTTGTTGTTTGGTCTAGACGTCAGTTCATACAAAATCCTGGCAAAGGTATCGGAATACCTGGCATCTGTGAATAATATTTCAGCAAATGCATTCTCATAAGCTAGCAGCAAGGCTCGGTTTTGTGGCTCAGACACAAGACTTTCCAATATCATAGCAGCTTTCCTGCAAACTTCGGGAACTGGATGGGGTGCCTTGATAACTTTTAACAGTCTATCAATTGCCCTGCAATTTTGTAAAGTTTAAACAGAAATGTCCTTTCAGCAACAAATTTTCATTTCCATACTCGTGATCGAAATTCTTGATCTTGAATTATTTATTATGTGGATATTTTTTGGTGGAAGAAGAGCCCTCACCATCGCTCACTAGCTAGTTTTAGCCTGCAGTCCATATTAACTTCAGCGAGGTTGTAGAGTGCGCCAACTGCAGCCGCTTGTGCTCCATGTGCTGTTTGTGCATCTACGGATGGTAAGCTCATAAGATCAATCAATCGCTTATGTATCTGCAGTGTTCATTTAGCCTCAGATAAAAATTGATAAAATTTAAAAATGAAAAAACCAAGGGTTTAGGGTTCATAAGTGGTCCTCAAGGTTAAAATCCATCTATAAATGATTTGTTTCATTTTTAAATTTTATGAATTTAAATTATTTTTAAAAAACTTCATTAGTTTGTTGATGTGGCATATATGTGGAGCCCACATCTTCAAAAATATAGTGCCATATGTATTTAAAATACAATATATATTTTTAAATAATATAAAAAAGAAAACCAAAATTTTATGAATTTTAAATTTAAAAAATTAAAAAATTTCGCATGGACCATTTGTGATAGATGTGTGAACCTCAGGGATATATATATGACACGTTAGCAAACTAACGGAGTTTTTGACGGAACCTAACGGCAGGGACCATTTGTGATCACACATACTAACCTTGAGGACCATGAATGACAAAAAAAAAACATTAAGGATGCAATCTGATAGTTTCGTAAACCTTAGGGACGTTTTGTGATAATAAGCCTAATATTATTGAATTTAAAATGCAGGATGACAAACTGAGAGCTGCCCAAAACTTCAGCATAAAAATTAAATTGCAGATATCAGAAATTAAAGGAGTGCAAGACATACAACACTGAGGAGAGCATCAAGCAAGCCAGGAATCTTCGCAAGAGGGGTTGTGTCTTTGCGCATGTCATCTTTTTCTTTGAAAGAGAGTAATGTGAGAGTGTTCAATGCCCATGTCAACTCACTCTTCAGCCCACTCTGAAGAGCCAGAACTATCCTTTTATTGTTCTGATCTGCAATGCGGATGATATGTATTGGTAAGAAGGTACAACAATACTCAAAAGCAAACTTTTCACTCCTGTGATTGATACCCTTTTCAATAAGTTTACATATTTCCATGCTGTGCTACCCAGTTCCCCAAAAATTGTTACTTCACTTTTATTTTTCTTTTCATTTACAATTTGGCAGTTCAATTACGGAATATATGGTTTGTTTATAGCCAAAATAACTTCAAAATTACAAATATCTAAAACTTCTAAACAAATTGCAAACAATTTTAGACTGAAATGCAATGCGGTTTAGGGTTTTGATAAACTGACCGGCGAAGGAACTGTGGACGTGGAGGGAAGGACCGAGGAGAGTCGACGGAGCTGCCGTTTCGGCGGCGGCGGCAGCC